TCATCCACGAACTTGAAGTAATTGCAATGGGCAATGTTATTCTACAATGCATGACAATCATTTAGTCGAATAACACAAATTAATTTGTCACTACTAAAGGATTAATATTTCCAATACATACATATTTTGATGGGCAAACAAAGAACAAACGCCCTTGATTTCGATTCTCATTGGTTCTTACAATATATATGGCAGTTGTTCTTCCACAATTGCACAGTCTCGATTTTATTCTTATGTTGTTATTGTTAGTAGAAGAAAAAACCATTTTTAAATCTCCATACACAATACAAACAATCTCAAAACAATAGGTGGTGTAAGCTTTGATGTGTCTTTCACTCTATGGAAGGACACAACCTATTGTACTAACTAAAAAAATTGTTGCAGTTATCCTCTCCCTTTTTTTCCTTCTCAAATTATTGCAGTCAAAATTCTAGAAAATTATGTTTAGTTCTATTTTCCTCTGATTATCATTTGTTTTTATTATTGTTATCTAAACAATCTTAAGAACCTTAGTTCTCTATTGAGAGTAGCTACGGATTTTAGGAGAACTAGAGAATCAGCAACACTGTCAATTACAAAAGAAAAAAGTTGTATGGATGGGCTATGTACATCAATTGAATGTCAGCTTCAAAACAGAATCAATTATAACAAGGAGATCAACCTACTTTGGAATTCAGGAGTTAATCTATTACAATGGTCAAAACAGGGCTTACATAAACAATGATAGAAGTGATAATCATAGGGATGCTGTGGTACTACAGGCAGGGGAAATAAACTATGAATGAATTAAAATTTGACATTCAATGTAAGATGCTTTCATAATTGAAAAATGAGATTTTGATAAACTTGGTGCTAATGGAAGTTATTCTTTACTTCATTTCAGAAGTGAAGTGTGGTTAAGAATGTAGTTGCCCCTCTTTAACCCTTGCATAGACATTGTATGAGTGTGAAAGAATCATAGATGGTTGTCTCTAATAGTTAATTCAAATTATATAGGTTATGTTCACATACAACGTAAATCTGTTTTTGTTAATATGCACTAATGAGGAAGCAATAACCTAAAATGGTCTAACAAACTATTTGAATCAGATCAGATATTATATATATATATATATATATATATATATGTATATATACAAATCTGCCCCAAATTTGTTGGATGCGAACAGATTTCGAACATCACAACAGATCTAAAAGACGAGATTTAGGGATGAGACAGATCGGTGGCCGGTCTGTGTATAATGTAAGTGTAATCAACCCAATAACGACCGTGAGCCAACAGATTGGCCATGAACCGATGCTGTTATGAACATAAACTACGCAGATGGGAAGAAGAGAAAACAAATCAGATAGGCCATAGATCATCACCTGCAAATCGGTTTGAGTGTGAGAGAGTTGGTTGTTGTTCGCCGCCGCGGTTTCGATCTCCGGTTGCGGTTTCGTCTGCCAAGGTCGGTCCGACGGCCTCCAGTAGCTCCGTTCTTCTTCTCCTCAGCTTTGCAATGGGTGTGTATGAGCTCTAATGTGAGCCGCGTTTTGCAGATGGACAGATTTTAGCCTCTCGGGGCAATTCGGTAAATTCGCACCAGACAGCCTCGCCCAACATCCGCTCAATTCGATTTTGTCGTGACTTGGCTGAATTAGCCTTTTTTGTCGTGACTTGGCTACTTTAGCCTGGGATTGGCTTCCCAAACAGACGCAAAATTTGCCAAAGCATATAGAATTTGCCTAAATTAATCTCTGATTAACTATATATATGAGCCTTTCTCAGTCATTCTCTAACCTGCAGTACCTGAGGATTCTACTCTTGAACTTTAAACTTCGATTTGGTTCATTATAAGTATTGTGCTATCCAAAATTCAAAACAACTGTCTATGTAATAACTTACATTCTTGTCTTAGTCATGTTCATGTGTATTTGTATGATTTTGTTTTGTTAAGCTTACATTTGTAAACTTAGACTTGTTTTGCCTAGGTAAAGGTCATTGTCTTGTCTTGATACTATCATATTTTGCCTAAGTGTTATATACATGCTTTGTTCCTTGCTTAGTGTGTTAAGCCTAAGTCATCTCAAGCCTAGGTCATACTTTTGAACCTCTAACACCTAGGACCATCTTGGAACCACTTTGGTTGACCTCCAACTTCACCCTGGCATATTGGCCAAGATGTCATCATCTAGGCGTCCTAGACCTTTGATCCTTGCACCTAGCGATCTTGTTCCGGGATTGGTATGACCTAGACCGAGGTGTGACATATCTAGGCCGAGGTGTGGCACAGCTAGGTCAAGTATTATCCTTCCTAGCCGAGATCATTGAGACCTTACTTGCCGAAGCCTTGTCTTAATTCGAGATCATTACTTGTTAGATTGCCCATGTCACCTTACTTGTTGTACACATTTTGTCATATTCTTGTCTTGTCACTCAGGCACCTTTTTTAGGAGGGCTAATCAGATGATGCCACGTGTCCTAAGAGTGGTTTAAGCCAGCTAGCAGTGAGGGAACCCATATCATTTTGTCATGTCTTTGTTCTTGAAGAGAGAGAAGCTCTAGGAGGAAGAAAAGTTCTTAGAGTGAGAGAACTAGATTCCAAGCTTGATTCTTAGAGTTTGAACCGTTAGATTTGCATCTTGAGGTTAGATTCTTGATCTACTCTTGTTCTTTATATTTATCCGATCACATTACATGATCTAGCATGATTCATGAGCCATGCATTGGTTTAAAGTTTGTTTTAGAAAGAGAAAGTGATGTTCATGTGTTCTTAAAGAAAAATCATGTTATGACCCGAAAGTTTGTAACAAGCTCCATATTTTTGTGTTTGTTTTTCAAGAGATTTTTAACTATGGGTACCCAGGTCCATGTTTTTGAACTCATGCCATGAAATCTCATATTTTGTAATAAAAAGTTATAATTTTAGCATTCATGTTCTTTATGTTCTTCAAGGGAGGAACCCTAGATTTCCAGACTTCAGTTTTCCTTAGGTGTGGTTACCAAGACCACTCTTGCCTAGATCTCACACCTAGGCCAAGCATCGTATCTCACCTTGGCTTACCTTGCATGATCACTTGCACCGTTAGTCTATCTTGCATGCACACCTAGGCCGACCATGGTATACCTTTGCCGGCACCTTGTAACACCTCGACAGGCAGCTGCACACCGAAGCCTAGGTAACCACACCTCAGGCAAGAGGTGTGGGACCTCGGCCAAGACCTCCTGAGTTCACCCAATTAGGTCATTTTAGCTTAGATCATTTATGTGCATCCATTCCAAAACCTGGTTGGTACCCAGCATGTTTTCTCTAGATGAAAAATAGTGTTTTAACTCCCAGCACATGTTTTGTTTTGTCTTAACTTGGTTTTGAAAAGAAATACCGGGATCATTTTCATTCATGTAAAACTTATTTTTAAGAATGCATTGCATAACCATCTTTGAGCATTCTTTCTTGTCTTCTTGAAATGCATTTAGTGGACTTTGCCATGTATTTGTAGGTCTTGGATCCTTGCTTTAATCCCCACACCCGAAGAGCTATGTAAGTAGTATTTTTAATAAAGCTATATTATAAAGTTTTGATAAAGCTTTGCTTTGTTTTGGAAAAGTATTTGATCAAATATGAATGATTATCCTTAGTTTTTGTATCAAGTATTATGTTTGTTTTGATGACATTCTTGGAAAGTCCTTAGTGTTAGGGAACTATAATGCAACTAGTACCCTTATTTGAGATATCTCTCTTATCACCGACGGTCTTGTACGGGTGGGTTTGTCTAATCGATTCCGGTTCGATTATTCCCTTGTTTTGCCACTGACAGTTTTCCGCGTGGATTGTCTAACTGATTCCGGGTCTGCCACCGACGGTCGTGAACGAGTGTGCTTCGATTCTGAGACGGTTATTCCCTTGTTTTGTCCGGAATGTCATCCTTTGGTATTATGTAGATGTCATTAACATCCAAGAAGTTTTGAAAGACTTTGATTAATGAACTTGATTCATCCCATGTTTTGTACAAGTTATTATATGTATTTTTTTGATAAAGATCTCGGATATCATTCATTCAAACTTTTATTACTAATATTATTCACTGAGTATCCAAGTTCACCCTCTCCTTATACATATGTAGGTGACGAGCAAGAAGGCAGTAATGCCTAAGATGTTATTTGCAAGTTGTTTTCGGATTCATGTTTTGCCAGCATCTTAAAGATTATGCTTCTTAGCTTGTAATTCATTTCTTTTGTATATGTCGGCTTGAGAAGCCTTTTGATCAAGATGTAACATGTACTTTATTTTATTTGTATCCAAGTTGTAAAACCATTTTAAGATGTATGTCATTTCATTTGATCTATGCACAGCTCTTATGAACTACTTAGATTTAAATTTGCTTCCGCACATATAGGCCCCATATATTTATACTCTGATTGTGTGAATTTTTGTAAGTTGACCTTTGATAATCTCGAATTACTGGCCATCACAACACCATTCTACTAGGGCCGGAATGGGATCGTGACAGTCTAAGAGCAATAAACAAGTCAACTAGTGAGAAATTTAAGTTTTGACTTAAAATGTTAACAATTTTTAAAATATAGGGTTGTTTGGGATGACCTAAATAAGTGTACTTTTTATCTTTTTATGAAAAAATGTGCAGAAAAGTAGAAAGATGATGTGACAGAAAAAAGATAAAAACATAAAAAATGTGTACTTATTTAAGATAGCCAAACTTATTGCTTACCTTTCAAATCGAACTCAAACAAGCTTTAATTGCTTGAATCAAGAGCTGAACTTTAAGTCCATTAACTTTTTATAAGCCAAGCTGAGTTGCAAGTTGTTAAAGTTAATTTAAAAACTTAAACTTTAAAATGTAAACTTGACTTATTTCCGTAACGAGCTCAACGACATGCGGCATATCTTAAATTTAAGAATTAATTCATTCCAAGAACCCCATCTAATAGTGGAGAGAATAATTGAGACACAAACAGAAGGCCTTGAAAAAGAAAAAAAAAATTGAAAAATGAAAAATAGTGCGAGACAACAAGGCTCATTGGATGTTTCATTAATTGACATTGTTTGAATAAAAAATCACAGTTCTCACTCCCTATCTCTATAGTATCACTCTTTTCAATTTCTTCCCAGATATGTGTATGTAAAGGTTAGCCCTTCATATGTACACTGAAAAAAAACAAATTTCTAGTACAACATGAAGATTGAATTCAAGCCTAAGCCTAATCAAAATGTTGTCTAAAACAACTAAGATCAGATAGACCTATTGTACAAGCCGAGTAACTTTTAAGTTATACCTACCAAGAAAAAGGTGTGCTCAAAGAAGCCGAAAATCAAGAAAAATGGACATTGTGAAAGAATTTGGTTATTGCCGTCTTGAGAAATTAATGTATGTTTATTTTTACCGGTCATTGAAGCTCTGCAGTTACAGACAGAGAAGGCTGTAAAAAACGAGGGGTATGAAGGCATTATCAAGTTGTGCAGTGTAGGCCTCCAACAAACCACTAACGATCACAGCTATGAGAAGAGAGAACCAGTGCTGCACATAGTGTCATCAAAGACATTAGGAACGGTATTATCATTCACAAGGTGAAAATCAAAATTCGCACATAAGCTACTTCCAAATTAAGGCACAAGAAGTGGAAGTGATTCAATCACTATAAGAAATGGGGCAAGGAAATGACGCGAATAATACAAATCCACATTCCCATAAGTACTAAACACTAACGACTCGACCATGGATCCAATTTCATAGTAAGTGGGAGTTTGCAAGGGGGCTTGCCCGACGAAGGAGGGGTTTGGCGGGGCTAGCCTCCCAACCCGAATTTCGGAGAAGAGTATTTATGATATTTATGCACTTGTGACCTATTACCCTAATTTCTATGTATATATAGTTGAGGGGAGGAGGCTATCTTGTGTAATCTCTTGTAACCTTTCAGATCACAATAAAAACCATAGCAGCCATGCATGTAGCCCTAGTTTCAGGTGAACCACGTAAATCTTGTGTTCTTCATGTGTGCATCTGATTTATCTTGCTTGTGCGCTTGTTCATTTCATGTTTCACCAATCCAGATTCCTAACAATGCTAATAACTGGAACGCTTAAAAATGTGTGTCCAAGCATGCATGCCTATGTGCAGGTGTCTATTTAGTTTTTTGTGTATGTATGTGTATGAGAGAGAGAGAGAGAGAGACCTGAGTAAAAATATATCCTGTTGTTGCTAGAAGTGGAAGGAGAACTGAGCAAGCTGCCAGGACCGATGTGATGCCAGCTGCAGTACCTTCGACGGTTTTCTCTATCAAATAAAAAAGTGAACACACGTTAAAGAGGCTAAACAACAACAAAAAAAAACTAGCAGGAGAAACCATACTTACTGCCTGTTTTGCTCCACCTGAGGACACCATACTTATGGCCAACCATTGATGCCTAGACATAAAAGCCAAACCAATCTGGTTAATGTACAAAAATAACCAGATGTTTCTCAAGTAAAACAAGTAATGTCATGTTTGGATCTTGAATTTGGGAGGGAAAAGCAAGTGAAATAGAAACTTCTTTTTTCTTCATTCCTTGAATGAAATAGAAACTAATTCCTTCTTTTTTCTTTTCCCTCCACAAATTTAAGATCCAAACACAACATCAAAGCACATCCTACACCATCTTACCTTAATTAATAGGTTCTTTTATTTATCTTTTTCTTTTTTTTTTTTTTTTTTTTGTGTTGGGGGGGGGGGGGGGGGGGGGGGGGGGGAGAGAGTTGGAGTGAAGAATATTAAGTCAATAACCAAATGGTGTAATTGGTAGAAACTAGACAGGACAACTTTGTTTCAAACAGAATTTCATAGATTTACAAATTCTGAACTATTTTTAGCTAAATTAAATTCATATCTTGTGTAAAAATCAATGTATAAAGAGAGAAATACAGAGAATATTGTATCTATTGATGTATTATTGATTGATGTATTGAATGTTACAATGATTCCTATATATAGAAGAGTAGGTGGTAGTAGGTGGTAGATGGAGTAGGTAAAGTGGAGGTGGTAGTGGTGTAGTGGGTTAGGTTTAGTGGAGTAGGTGAGGTGGTAGTGGTGTAGTGGGTTAGGTTTAGTGGGTGAAGTAGGTGATAGGTTTTAACATCTTGCTAAGTAAATTTGGAAATATTCTGAGCATACACAAATGAGAAAACTCACTTAAGATTGCAATTTCACCAAAATGTGAACATAATAGTACATAGAAACTAGAAAACACACCATTGTATCTCCAATTCCAAGGCTCAAAATTCCAGCAAAAGGGGCAAGAGGTCGATCATTGAACCCAGAAGACATCCAGATAGGAAGTGCACAGCCCAATAAGAGTGAAAAATGGCTGAAAAATGAAAAACACATCAAATTAGGAATTAATTATTATTCACAAGGAAAATATGCTACATCTTCTATGCAATATGATGAAAACATGTCATACCTAACAATAAGAAGATCTGAGTCACGGTGGTCTGTAAACGCATTCATAAAGTGATGTACGAGTGGCCCCAAAGGCTGAATTCTCCATACCTGTCTACAAAAGTTATGGTTATGCAAGCTTTATCAAAACCATTATAACGTGTTTAAGCATCTAAAACGAACTAAGACCCAGCTTGCAATAAGAACAATTAGAGTGTTGCAAGGAGTCACTTTTGGGAGATAAATGCAAAACAGCTTTCACAAATCTGTCAAAACAAGTTGGGATAAACTTTTTAGATTAACTTATGGATGGATGACGAAATGATATCCCCCATAATTTGGATTTATATAAAAGAAATGAATTAAAAATAAATAAAAGCAATGAATCTTGTGTCATGATAGGCAATTTACAAATCGCAATATCTGAAAGCATTTTCATTCATTCTCTGCAAGATTTGCAGTATATCCCCCAACATCCATGGAAGCATGGTTAGCTTGTTAATTATGTCCTGGATATCATTTTCAATAATTTCAAACAAGCATTTGATATACCATATGCAAAGTAAACATGTAAAATTACAAAGTGCTCCTGAAGTTTAACAATTTCCAATGTTCCACAAAATTTGCCCACACTTTCCCCTTTTATTTATTTTTATTTTATTTTCTTACAATGCATAAATACTTTAATTTCATGTGCAATAAGTTCTACAGACTGCAGTGTTGACATTTGAACCCAAGAACATTAGACATGAGCAAAGGCAATGACTTTCAGCACCGTCATTTTTCTAGTATATAGCAAAGAAAAAAATCAAGAACAATAGTACGTGCAAATTCAATGAACTTACTCGAACAATTTCCAAGACCAAGAATACCGCCAAAGCTGCACCAAATGCCAGATCAAGAAACTTCGGCTGGAAACAAAAATGAAGTCCACATAACTTCAAAAACTACTTGGAGAACTAACTAAATTAAAAAGAAAGGATACAGAGAAGATTATTGTGTGAATCCCAAATCACCTGGAAGATAAGAGCAGGCAGAAACATTAAAACAGCCATCAGATGGTAGTATTTTCGAAGAAGAATCCTCTCAATCTTACTATTCTTTGAAATGTTGTAAAACCGTTGGACAGACACACATATAAGAGCCACCCAGTAGATACACAATGAAAGCCTCTTATGCGGTTCCGAGAAAACAAAATTAATCACCCTGGAAAAAATTAAAAACAATAAGATGCAACATATATATGTTTTTCAAACCAAACAACTTCATATACTAGATAGCTACAAACAAACTAGAATTCTTACCCACAATATTGTAATGGAACTGATTTATAATGATAGAGGCTAACCATTACAAGTGTAAATGAATAATTACATGGCAACCAACCAAACTCGGGCCTGACCTGAGCCTAAACTTTATCCTGAATTGGTATGCCTAAGATGTACCCAAGCTTAAATGAATGAACTCGGATTAGGCATTTTTTGCGAATAAACCCCAAAAAAAAAAATAATAATAATAATTATTATTATGAAACGAGAGAAATTCATTCAAGCAGAGGTTTTCGTTATTCACATGACTTGTTAAGCATATCAACAGGTCTAACCGCCGTTTTCCTATGTATATATAAAGAGCAAAAACAGAGCCTAGTTGACTCGTGCCAGTTGGTTTCAAAACAACATATAATATAATAATTTCTCTCTATTCTAATAACAAAGTGGACCATTTAGGGGGGAAAACTCAAACCCTTTCTACCTTCATGACAAGTATCATGATGAAGTCAAAATGGAGCTAAAGTATGTGGCATTATTAACATGGAAATATATTACAATAGCATGGGAAAATATTGAACAAAGGATGCACATATAGTCTCAAAATATATTATAAAGTACATCGTACCATAACAAAGGATGTACGTGAAAATCTTGAACGAGCTGCATCCATATTGGACCAATTCCAAACAAGATAAATGCCAGAGAAGCATAGAAAATAACAGATTTTCCAATCTCATGGTATGCCCTTGCTTTGGAGTATGCTGAAGTTGTAAACCATTCCCAAATGTGGAGAACAAATTTAAAGAACATTGGAAAAAGAAGAAGGCCAACAACCATGCCCTGCAGGAAAGGGGAGAAAACTTTAGGATCCAGCTGCTTCATTTTTTTCGTGTTTTTTTTTTTTTTTCTCACCTGGGAACAATCATACCTGAATAATGATGCTTATCTCACTTCTTTTGATTCCATATTGTACATATATCAATTCTGATGGTACCAAGTATCCATGAATCTGCTCAAAAATTGTTGCTTGTAAGAACTATCAAGCATTTCAAAGAAACTAACCATTTTTTATTTTTAGTGATTTTTTAAGAACTAACCTTTGCAAAGGTAAGTGCAAACATGTCCCCAAAATAGATAACAAGACCAGAAGTCACCAAAAGGGCCTCCCCTAAGAAGAGAGAAAATCCAATAAATTACCAAGTAGAGTACAAGAAAATCTTAATTGACTAACCAAATAACAACAGTAAGCCCTCAAAAATAGAAGAAAGGCAACTGATGAAATAGCATTATCATTCTCACAAGAAAATTAAACTTGAGCACTAATGGCTGGAACAGAGTAAGATTGGGAAACTTGAAAAGAAACAATATACATTCTGAAACAGGAAACAGAAATTCAAGTGGACAATGATGTTCCAGAGTACCACTGTTTTACAATGTTTTAGATGATTGCAAAAATCAACTTTAATTCAGGACTTCTAGTGAAGAAAACCAGTTAGTCTAACAAGATACTGAGCACCCAACCTCAACATGACTACACAATCAATCAGTGCCATTTATGATGCCATACTCTCTTAAAGGAATAAAAATCACTGAACCATTAACCTACCATATTGACTCAATAAATTTCTTGGAAAACACTCATTATAATCTCCCAAATGTAAAAAAAACAATCGTCAAAAATTGACACAACTCCCACTTAAAATTAGAGAAGTATCTGAAAAATAAAATTACATTAGAAACAAATTGAACAATTCAATTAAATCATTTCTGTCTAAGTTTTTCATGATTACTCAATGATATTAGGATGGAATCTGTAGCCTGAAAGCACCAACCTATGTTTGTCCATTCATACTTGAAAATTTGAATATTTTATTTCACAGTGTTTATTATAGTGCGCGTGCGCTTGTTGCTCAAAGTTTATGATCAGCAGATTCTTATCATAAGCAATATAAATCCCTTCCTGGCTTCCAAATCAAATAACAAGTGAAAAAAAGTAAGTACAAGGTTGGCCATGCTTCATGATACAAACTACTGGGCTGCTGAGAGAAACAAGCCATGAGATTGCCATAACTAAGCTGAGATGGATTGCTGGTGAAAAAAATAGGTAATGAGCAAATATGGGAGAAAGCTGGCTGAATCAACTTGACCCTACGACAATATGGATCCATCTTTGATCGACTATACCTAGCTTGGCTCAAAAAAAAAATCTCAATTGTGCCCAATTCCACATACTCACAATCAAATATATTGGATCACACAAAGTTGAGGGGCAAAAAAGGGAATCCTGTAGCTGAATCCACGGAGTGACGATTGGAGCTTGATAGGTCAACTGAGACTTAACCAATACTCTTTCAAATAGAATTTGCGAGACAGAAATTATACATATTATATATGTGAGTTGTTAGATGAGGCAAAACAGGATTACACAAAGAAACAACCATTTGAACAAGGGAAAAGCATAATTTTCGCGAGCAAAAGCCTAACAGGCACAGGCTTCTAATTTTCTACCTAAAATTAGATGGTTACCACATACACAGGGCCATGGAACAACAGTGTTTAAGAGCAGAAATAGAAGGTAAGTCAATCTTTTGTCTAATACACAACATCAAAATTCATGCGTTGTAAAAGCTTGCAAATGTTTTAAATGTTATCCATGCATAATCGTATTATATTTCTTTTTGTCTACCAACAAACAGTTAACTGTAGTCACTCAACAAATGAAGATTACAGAGTAGTATAACATACCAATGGAGGCACAAAATGGGAAAGTTCGAACCACATGCTGAATTAATTTCACAGCAGCAACGCCCTCGCATAGCACCCACAATAACTTTAACGCTGTGAACCAGCCTGTAAAAATAGTATTAACATATGAGTGATGTTTACACAGATAGTTAAAACTCCATATAACAAAGTACATAAATTTTAAAGTGGGAGCAGAATCAAAAGATTACCAAAATGAGATTTTGTAGCAAAAAACACACAACAGACTGCCGCATAAAAGGCTAGGCAACTTAAGCTAAACTTCACACCCCAGCCACTTTGTGCAGAAATGGGATCTGTATTGTTGGGTGACTGCCAAAGAATGAAGCCAAGGAAACCAAGCACACCGAAGCAGCAGGCAAATGTTGCCCAATATTGCAGCTGCAGATATTCAAACTCTGCAGAAGGAAAAAAATGAATGGAACTGCCAAACACAAAAAAAGAAAAAGGATAATAGAATAAAGTACATAAAATATCTGAAAAGGAAAAGAAATTAAAAATAAATAAATTGATGCACAACCATTTTAATAGAGAGATAATAGCCAAAATAATCCAAATATGCTCAATTATGAGAACATGAATGATCTACTGTAGCCATTTTTATTTGATACTTAATTATGCAATAATATGCAGGAAGTATTACACTTCATTGTGAAGTGATTATAAACATTTAAGGAAATTACCAAAAAAAATCCCAAGGTTTGAACCTTGTAACAAAATAAATCTTAGGTTTTTAATTTTGTTAATGTAAACCCCAGACTTTTTATTTGTTCTCAATCTAAACCATTTAACTATTTCCGTCAAGTAAAATCAATAGAAAAATGGGAATTGTGGTCTTTAAACCAAATGAAAAATGGCATTTTAAACATTTGATGCATATCCATCCAGGTTGAGTATAATGACTAAAATCCTCTTTTTCCGTCGATTTTACTTAACAAAAATAGGGGAATGGTTTATATTGAAAACAAATCAAAAGATTAAGGTTTAAATTAACAAAATTGAAAAACTCATGATTTATTTTGTTACAAGGCTAATTGTCCCTAAATATTTTGGCATTATTAGCTCTTTAATGACAATCCATAAGTCTGTCATTGGCTTAACCCTTAACTAAATTAACTAAAGTATTGTACAGATATCAAAGTGAATTTTGAAATACACAAAATTTGAAGATTTTATACTAGCAACAGCAGCATTCAATTTGATTTTAAGCACACTAAACGTACCTTGATTTCCAAGTTGATGAAACGACAGAGCTCTCGATAGCTGTATCAACCTCGAAAGCATAAGACCGGGCAGCGTAACCGCCCCAAGTAGAATCCCTGATGAAGCCCCTTTCCTAAACAAAAATTATATCACATCAAACAAACACACAATCCAATCTTGACCACAACGAATTCCAAAAAAAAATAAAAAATAAAAAAAAATAGATAAACCCTAAGACATAGAATTAAGTTGAAGGGGGGAATTGTACCTGGTCTTGAATCGGGAGAGGGAATTGGAGGAGGATTCGGAGAAGATCTCGATGGAGAGGGAGAAGAGGGTGAGGAGAGAGAGGGAGAGGGATTCGGAGAGGAGAGAGAGAGGAGCGGCGAAGAGGAGAGGAGCGATGAAGAGCACAACCACGGCTCTCTCGCCGTTGAACACCGATGAAGAAGCCATAGTTGTTGCCATTTTTTGTTTTTTTCTTTTTTTTTTGGTTTTTTGACTTTGCAACCAACGAATATAGTTTGAATTGAAAGAAGAACAATTCAGACTACCAAAACAAGAAGAAGGTGCACAGAAGATGATGATGAGAGAGAGGGTGGGTTTGGCGCGCACCGGACAGACGGTGGCGGTGTACTGTACCTAATTCTATGAGCAGTTATGGTTCCATACGGTTTGTCCAATCGGCAAAAACAGTGTGTGCCTACTAGAGGGGTGCGTGGTTTTCGATGTGATGACGTGGTTGATGACGTGGAGCTAAACTAGAACTTTTGCATTGCAGCAGATTCCTACCCATCTTCCAGGCCCGATCCTCACAATTTCACAGAGAAAAAAATTGAGACATCTAATTTTAAAATTTTAAGAAGAATTTTAATGATGCAGTAAGAAGGGAACCCCTATATATAATGTAATGTGTATATTTATAATTTTTTTTATCACATCACTAATGTCCTTTTGAAAATTTCAAAATTAATTTTTTATCTTTATTGTTTCACAAATATCAGTCCTAATTTCACCATGTTTTGCTGAACCACCCACCCCTAAATTCACCCACCCTACCCTACCCTACCGATTACCAAACACACAAAAAAATAATTAAATAATCAAAAAATTGATTGGTGATAAAAAAAAAAAAAATAGGTAAACACTCTCTAAATTTTGATTAAAATATGAATCATTTGGAAATTACTTTTTACACCTTGAGGTTTTTAATTTAATAACAAATTATTCTTTTTATTAATAAATTATGGGCAAATTATAAACACCCCTCGAAATTTGGTGAAAGATTTTCTCCTGAGGTTTGAGAAATTACATCCCGCCCTCTGAGATTTATATTTTTATAACAAATTGTCTCCTGGGGTTTTTATTTTCATACAGATTTCCCCCTAATTTTTCCTAATTTGTTATGAAAATTTGACCCTCAGGGGGTAATTTGTAATTTCTCAAACCTCAGGGAGAAATCTGTATTTTTATCAAACCTCAAGGGGGTGTTTGTAATTTGCCCATAAATTATAAAGTTAATTTACAGTTTTTAATAATATTATAAATATATTTCAATTAATAATTTAGGTAATTTTATTATTGTATAGGAAAGTAATTATGAATTTTATTTTTTTAATTAATTCTATTATAAAAAATCTGACAATGAGGTATTTGAAATTTTTTAAGTTATAGAAAAAAAAAATTATACTTTAAGTAAATTTTAAGAAATATATTTATAATTTACCAAAAATAATTGTACGAGTAGTTAAGAGACGCAAGAGATGTAAATGGATAAATTTCACTGACACCCTCCTGAAGTTTTTATTTAATATAGATCTCTTTTCACGTTTGAAAAATTACGCTTATCTCCTGTCAGATTAAAATAACATATTTGTTCCTTAGTCTTTATACATATTAAATAATAAAATAATGTTCATATTTTGTTCATGTTGTTTTAAGAGAGATAAAAATTATCTTCTTTGGTTTAACTCACACAAAAAAATTGAAATTTTTTATTTTGGGTGTTTTTTTATTTTTATTGAATTTTTTTTGTACGGGAAAGAAATATATCTTCTCGTATAATCCTGTTGACCAAGTCCACGCTCCTCCGTACGACGTCGCTTTACCACCTGAAAACACAAACGTGAGCTAGCCGGCGGGTGTGTGCCGGAAACCTCTCCGATGCCTAAGTCAGAAAACTTGACAAATAGACAAAGCTCAATGTTCTCAGAAAGTAAAAATTATGTTGTGTTCTGTTACCTCCTTCAAGGTGATGTTTGAGAGCTTTTATAGGTTTCGTGTAGCCCAATCCTATTAGGACTTTTATTCCTCCATGCAGAGTCCTTCTAGGATTGATACTCTTAAGGATAATTGCTTATCCTTTTACACCCCCCACTGCTTAAACCAAGTGGGATGGTTTTCGTTATGGCCGAACTATAACATGACCGGAATAACATTGGCTATGCCGAACCGCAGAATACGCCATACTAACAATAGTTCGGTTCTACTTGCTACACATTACCTCGGTTCTCCTCTGCTCCACCTATGGTGTGTTTGGACCGAAACAACGACTCTCGACCGGTATAACTCCAAGACCGGTACACCTCTAAAGCCGATGTAAACTTCAAGACCAGTCTGATCCCAGGCTGTTCCAGGACCGAAGTACATTTACAACCTTTCAGCCGAAGTAACTCTATCTTCTATTGAGCCGAAGTAACTTTTACCTCTCATGGCCGGAGTAACTACACTTCTCCTGGGCCGGAGTAACCACACTTCTCCTGGGCCGGAGTAGCATTGCGGCCTTCCCACCCAGTCCTTCGCACTTTGGGCCACAAAGCCCATCACATAGCTCGGCCCAATTTTCACCAAAAATTACCCTCTCATTTTTAATAGTTTAAGTAAATTATTTATTTTTTAAATACACCTAATCTAGATATACTTAAGAAATATAATATTTTGTAATTTTTTTAAATTCATCAAATACAAAATATATATATATATATAAAAATTCAGTAATACTGTAATAAATATGGGTGAATAGACGAGAAAGAAAAATAATGGTGAAAATAAAAAATGAAAAATTCTATTCATATATAAAATTTATTCAAAAAATATCATAAAAATATTATGATAGTGATGTTGTAAATATAAATCATATTTATAGGTGTTTTATTTTAAAGTGAAAGATCACCATTAAGTTATATCATTGTGTTTGAAATTTTATATAAAATTTATATTTGTATATTATCACTCAATAAGAATATGTTCAGATAGAATTTAATGATAAAAATTTATAGAATATACTCATGATGATAGAAATAACAAATGATAGAAAAAATGGCAAAATGATAATTTAAAAAATTTTAAGATATGACATCAGCAATTCAGATGTCAATTTGTAATTTCAGAAAGAAAAATGTAATTTTTTAAACATGAAGAAGAATCTGTATTGAACAGAAACTTCGAAGATGTCAGTATAATTTACCCAATGTAAATTGTATAAGAGTATTGATTAAAAGTTCTAAAATTAGAACTCTAATTTTTGCTCCAGTGGTATGATATGAAAAAAAATATATAAAATAAAACATAAACAAATAAATATAAACATCATATCACATCTAGAGATGGCAATTGGAATCTAGCCTAACGGGGACCTGACCCCCTGACCCCGAATTGAGCGGTTATTTCCCAAAAAATACACTCGACAGGCTAGGGATGGTATTAAAAAATGTATCCCTGGTGATGTTCGGGCCGGGGATACATGTTTCAGTCCCGGACCCGGCCCGACCCCGATTCCCGCCCCGTATGAATAGGGATGGCAATCTGAACCCGGCTCGACGGTGACCCGACCCCCCGATCCCGAATTTAGCGGTTATTCCCCGAAAAATATCCCCTATGAGCCGGGGATGGTATTAAAAAAAAAATCCCCGATGATGTTCGGGCCAGGGACGGGGATACATATCCCAGCCCCGAACCCGGCCCGGCCTGGCCCCCAACCCCCGCCCCGAATAGCCCCGATGTAAAATTACCATTATGCCCAGTATATATATATATATGTGTATGCTTAGGTTTAATTCACTTCACTTCATTCACACACTCACAGATTGGGTGTTGCTCTCTCTCTTTCTCTCTCTCACCACTTAGGGTTTCACCTCTCCCTCTCTCACAACGACGGCACGGCAGTGCCGCTTATCCCTCACCGCTGCTGCTTTCCCCTCTCTCTCTCTCACACACACGATGGCTGTCACTTTCGCTGCTCCCTCACTGCCGCTGCTTTCGCCTCCCTCTCTCACTCTCTCACGCACGACGCCGATGGCTGTCGCTCCTTCCTCACCGCCGCTCGTGAACAGATCGTGACCGTTGCCACCGATCACCGATCTGAACAGATCGTGAACCGTTGCCACCGATCGTGAAACGTGAAGCTCTCTGAACAGATCTGAACAGATTGTTAATGATGCTGATAGATATATATATATATATATATAAATATGTCTGTGTGTGTGTGAGATGAACAATCTCAGATCTCTCTTTTTTTTTCTTTTTCTTTTTTTCTTTTTTATGTTGTTGATGATGATGATATATACAATTTTAGATTTTTTTTTTTAAGTTGTTGAAGATGATTGTTGATGAAATATACTGAAAAACAGATTAATTTTTTTTTTTTGTGTTGAACAAATATACTGAAAAACAGATTTTTTTTTTTTGTGTTGAACAAAATTATTAAAAAAAAACAAACAAACAAACAAGTCGGGGATTTTCGGGGTCGGGGAAACCCGATCCCCGTTGGGGGGCGGGGGCGGGGGGGTTGATGGCGTCCCCGTCGGGGATCGGGGACGGGGACGGGGATTTTTTTACCATCGGAGATCGGGGACGGGGAAGGTGATCCCCGGCCCTGCCCCGTTGCCATTCCTACGTATGAACCCCGATATGAAATTACTATTTTGCCATCCTTATAAATATGTGCGCATATAGGGTTTGGTTGAAACACTCTACTCTCACACACAAAACACAAACACACGTTGCGCTCTCTCTCTCTCTCTCCGCCATTGCCAAGAGCTTAGGGTTTTGCCTCCCCCTCTCTCTCTCACACAACGAACGACGGTTGCCACTACTCCATCACCATCGATCCTCCATTATCGTTGCTCATACCTCACCGCCGATCATCATCCCTCACTATTGCTCTCTCTCTCTCTTTCCGCCGTTGTCAAGAACTTTAGGGTTTCGCCTCCCTTTTTCTCTTTCACACAACGAACGACGGTTGCCCCTCCTCCGTCACCACCGATCTGAAGCCACCACCACCACCACCGATCCCTCCGTTACCATTGATTTGAAGCCACAACCATGACCAGGACCGTGAAGCCACCGATCGATGTCTTGATAACGAACCATGAACAGATCGTGGTCCGATTGATGTCTTGATCAACGGACAGATCGTGAAGCCCCTCTCTCTCTCTCTATATATATATATATATCTGTTGTTGATTGATGAGCAATTTTTTTTTTCTAAGTTGTTATCTATATTATATCTGTTGTTGTTGATGAACAATATTATATCTGTTGTATGTGTGTGTTGAATAGATTTGTATACATATAGATTTATTTTTTTTATTTTTTTTTGTTCTTGTGTTTGTATTTGTGTTGAACAGATTTGTTGGAGATTTTTCGGGGTTGGAGAAACCTGATCCCCGTTAGGGGGACGGGGACAGGGGAGGTTAAGGGTTTCCCGCTGGGGATCGGGGCCGGGACTGGAAATTTTGTTACTGTCAAAGATCAGGAACAGAGAGAGTCATCCCCAATCTCGCCCTACCCCGTTACCATTCCTAATTACATCCCCCTATTAACCTCTAAAATTAACGCTGTCAATTATTTTTGATTAAGTAATCGGCCTTTTAGCTCCACCTGGACTTCCAATGCCGTCAAACCGCGTAATGGATAGGAGGAACTTTAGGTCAGCCTGAGGAAGTAATTTTTTTAACTTAAAAATTAAAAAGTTATTAAAAAAATTAAAAAGTCAAAAATTTATTTTAAAAAGTCAAAAATTTATCTTTCTCTTTACCTTTATATACTTTTTTGTAAAAAATTTAAAAATTATTTCAAACATACTAATTTTTTTACATCATATTTTAGTCAAAAAATCATTTAAAAAAACATATTCCCAACCAAGGCCTAAAAATTTCACTTCAAATATTAGTATATTAATTTAATTGGCATTTTTCATATTATTTTTTGAGGCCGTATCCGGCCATGTTTGGGGTTTAATTTTAGGAAAATTTACCCATAAGTCCTAGTTTTTGAAACGTTGAACCATTTAGTCCTAAAAGTTTTCTTATACTCCATTTAGTCCCATTTTTAAGTTAGAAAGATGTAGTATTGCTCTAAGACAAAATGTCAAAAAATTCACAAATCATTCCAAACATAACTTTTTTTCATCTCGTAAAATAGTTAAAAAGTCAAAAAAAAAAAAAAAAAAAAAAACCAAATTCCCAAATGAGGCCTAAGTTGTCAAAATATTTGTGTAAAAAAGTTATTTTCATAAATGTGTAGTAAAGTTCAAGTAAAAGGAACGAAAATTTATTCACCGTAGTGTTTTGAGAAGTTGGTAAAAAATTAATTTTTTAGTTTTTTTGTGATTTTTTGGCTTTTTTATGTTAAAAAAACTGGTTTTTTTTGTGACTTTTTTTTGTGTAAAAAACTAAAAAAATAAAAAAAATTGACTTTTTACTACATTCCCAAAACCCCTAATCTTAATACGTTTAAAAAGTATAATTGTTTGAGAAGTTGACTATTTTTATTGACTATTTAACTTTTTGACCATTTTAACCTAGTTAGAAAAATTTTGTTTGGAAAGTTGGTTGATTTTTTTTTTGTAGTTGATTTAATGATTGTGAGAAAAAAAGTGAAATGATTATGGATTGAATGTGCCATTTTTATCTTATTAACTATTTTAACATATTTTATCTTTTAGGTGACTATTTTAACCCAACACTCTTCTCAAATTTGTGAGAACAGAAAACTTACAAAAATTTACTAAATACAAAAAAAAACCAAATTTTAATACATTTTCATATTTTGTTATATTCAATGAATTTTTAAAAAAAAAAATTGTACAATTTAAGCATATTAAGATTAAGTAGATTTAAAAATTCAACAATGCTACAGACCCTCAAAAAACGCAATCTCACAACCCTCACTCACCTATGATTGGTTAAGGAAGACAAGAAAAAAAACAAAAACAAAAAAATAAAAACACATGATTGGTCCACATCATTTTGGGGTCATGAAAATCCCCAACTTTGGAGGTCCAAAGCATTTTCCTTATAAAAAAAATTTTAAAAAAAAAATTGATTGAAAATTTTAAAAAAATAATTAAAAATAAAAAAAATATGAATTCAAAACTCATAAAACTGTTATTGAAAACTCAAAACCACATAGAATGATTATTTTTCATGTATATTCATTTGTTAAGAAAAAAATTTATTTTATTTGTAAAATTTTGTAATTTTTATGGGACAAGTTTTGAGAAAAAAATGCTCTTAATCAAAAGTTACAGACTTGGGTATTCATAACTTTATTGCTGAGGATCTAAAGGTGTGATGAAGGAAAAATCAGGGTTTGGGCTCAGGAGACAACGGTGTTCCCTTTACTTGTAATATAACTTCACTAACAAATTAGTATCCTAAAATCTTGGCCAAAAGAAATATTTATTGCTAATTGAATATGAAAAAAATTACAACAATGATTCATCCCCCTTTTCCCCCACCCCCTTTGACCCCCTCTTTCTCTCATTGGTTACATTTTCTTTTTCTTTTTCTTTTTCTTTTTTTTCCTCCTCCTCCAATCACCACCCGCTACGTGGCAAAGGGGGTGAGGGGGTAACCCCCAAAAGGGGGTCCCAAGCATTATTCAAAAAATTATACGAAAGTGAATTTCAAATATTATTCATTTTGTTTAATTATATTTATTGTTTATAAAAAAATTAAATTAATCTAATAATTATAACTCGTGATTTTTTTAGATTTACCTAAAAATTGAAGGACATATTTTATAAAATTAAACAAATATTATTCAAATATATGACATTATAGATGGATATAATTTTTTAAAAAAATAAATAAATAACGTACGGAACTATTTTTGTCCTGCTTATGGAGCCTAAAAGCAAACAAATGTGTCAATATGTAATATTTTTATTTCTAAAAATAACGTAAATAAATAAATAAAAACATATCATTGGAAAGCAAGAAGGTACTTTTAGCGTTTGATTTCTTATTATCCATTTTTAACTTAACTAGAAAGTCACACCATTCAAGCAGGTTTAATGCAATGCTAACATCAACTTGTAGAACCCAACTATGTGTTGTTTGGGAAGGGCTAAAGTGGCTATTTTAGCCACAAAAGATAAAATAGGCTATTTTAGCCACAAAAAACAAAACATCACATCCAACTCATAATCATTATACTTTTCTCTCATAAAAAAAGTCAAAAAAGTCAAAAAATCCTTCCCAAACCAAACTTTTTAGCCTAGGCTAAAATAGTCAAAAAAGTCAAAAAGCCAAAAAACCAACCCACTTCCCAAACGGAGGCATAAATGCCCAAATTAGGCAATAAATTCACGTTCTACAAGAAAATATTCAATGTTCCTGAAGCAAGTCTAGGTAGCACTCCAAATGAATAGTCATTAGTTTAAATCATGACATTCACTATTTTTGTGTAAGAATTTTAGGAGACAAAGTGTTGTGAATTTTAAAATGAAATAAAACATTGAGCATTGAATAATTTCTCCTGTTCTCCACCCTAAGAAAACCACATAAGCTTGCACAAAATATTTCTGTATTCCATTCCATGTTTCTTTCCTTGTACAAAAACAATAGCAATGCCAGCAAAATTTACAAAATCTGAACCACCAAAGGATGCATATTATAAGTACACTTACATTCATCATGCATTGTTTGTGTTCTGATTACGCTGGAAAAATCTAAAAGCAGGTAAGTTTTTTCTGACATGAAATTGAAGCAAAACAAAGACAAGAATACGATACCCAACCGCCATGAGGGACAACCATAGTAAACTTTGCCACTTGGATTTACCATCAGGAGAGACATCATAGGCGCTTCGAAGAGCCTGATAACCTGATATTGACCTTACCTGCCCGACTGCAAAGGATGTCCCGATGTACTCGTTCTCCAAGAGCCCCTGAAACACAAGCAATAATAGATTTGAGATCCATTCATCACCACCAGAAGAAGGCTCTATTCCTCGTTATGGATTTCAGTTTTTAAAAATTAATTTGTTTGCGTCTATTGAATTCATGGGTTTCCTGAATAGTTTTATTTTTCAAAATCTAAAATATGGATTGTATAATACCTAATATAAGGCTGATGCAAGCATGATATCAACATTTTCCGTCTGAAGTTGTTAACAGCAGTTATAGAAAGGGATCATATTTAATTCATGTGTGAAGTATAAAGATGTAATTGAAACAAATTAGAGATTAGGAATCAAAATGAAATGTGTGGTATATTTTATGGACTATTTGTGTAATTTATCCTAATAATAACCAAGAGTTTGCTAACTACTCCCATGTACTTGGAAACTGTGGGGTAATTCAAATCTATTACATTTTATAATTATAAAATAAATAAATAAATAAATAAAATAATGATCACTATTTTTAGTGGCCAATGATTCTGAAACAAGAAAAGAACTCAAATAACAAAAATTTGACAATAAAATCAATGTTAGCAAAATCATGGGATAGATTAGAGGGAACCCAAGAGTGTTGTCCATTGAATCAAAGCAGAAAACGGAAATGCCATAAAAAGTTCAACTTGCCTTGATAGAGTAAGTGTGGAAAGCAATATAGGATACTGGGTACATCCATACTGGTCCAGGCAAAGCACTTCGGATTCTGAAATAGCCCGCTGAAAGCATCATTATCACCTGCAATATCATAGATACCAACCATTCACTAAAAAAGAGTTAAGCAATCAGGCAAATTCTGAAATAACAAGCATATTTTGACCTTGAATTGATTTTAAGAAAACGGATCAGAATGAAAGCTTAATGTAACAAAATAAATTGGATCTGAAAGCTGACTTAGCTCTCATTTTATTTTGAAAATTAGGAATCACCACCTAATATTGACTTCGTGTTAGGTCACCCCAAAACAAATTTAAAAAAAAAACCAGCTCTGTTTGGATGTCAAGAAAATATTATTTTGGAAAACTCACTGGACACCTATTTCTTTATTGTGACATTTATTTTGGTCATATGAACCAAGACTACTTCAAAGTTTACTGTTACCAGTAGGAAAGATGTTACATACCACATTGCCCTTTCAGTACTGAATTCCTAAATCTGTTAATCTGTAAGTTATTGAGACAAGTAATGAAATGTAGACAATGAGACGCAAGCAATATATAAGAAATATGATTTGAACTTTGGGTTTGGGGAGATCAATGAACACTATTTGTGCATTGAATGTAATGTCCTATTTTACTTAAAATCTTTTTATTTTGTAGAAAGGCTATAAGAAAATCATGCTATAGTTCGTTTGCACGCAACCAGTTGTCAGATTCAATTCCTATCATCACATGAAGCTATGATTTTCTGACTAGTTTTCTAAAAAACAATTAAGGGTTAAAATCCACACGCAATGAGTCCCAAAAACGTTTATAAGGGACTCATAGAAAAAGTTTAAAATAAAAGGTCCATGACCAACTAATTAATTCAAAACCTCTCAGTGCATCAAAAACAAAATTTAGTATATGTTACCACTACCATCTAACCAAGAAAATAAGTCAGACTGCTCATGAAAGTAAGGAACCTTCTTTCACCAGGGGAGAGAGAGAGAGACAGATGGTTAACATAAGAAACGAGAGAGATTAATAATGAGAACATAACAATAAACCATAAATTAGTAGTCAAAACCAAGATCCAAGAATGCTTGTGTGAACTATGCTGAATCACCCCAAAATAACAAATTTTAAAGTTGTTTCAGGTATTGCTACTTACATGTATGCACACTAGTGTCAAGATGCTCCAGAAGACGTCTTGAGAAATGGTAACAACAGACAGCATTAGTCCTTCATTTACTAAGAGGCATATGAAGAAATTCAGCACAAAGTACATCAACAAGCTGAATTGGTCTTGCAGCCCTATGAAGAAATAGAAGGCAACACTGGATGAAACGGAGATAAGGAACAAGAACGGGATACTTGAGAGGAGTTGCCCAAGTAAGAAAACGAACGCTCCCGTATGCTGGTTTGATTGTTCACATGCATATATCTGAATAATAGACGGCAATTTCATTAGGCCATTAATTAAATAAAAGGCATTTAAGTGAAGCAATTATGCAACTTCTCATGCCATTTGTTGTCCAAAATCAGAAACAGTACTTAAGATGTCTAAAATTTTATTGAAATTTATGTTATGTTTCTATATATCTAAGGCGGTTTTATAATTTTGTCTTTTTTGTAAAGAGGACTGCTATATATCACTTCTTTTTTTCACCTTTTGATATCACCAACGGGGTATGTGGCAAGATAATATTTGTTTTCATAAATTCCTTAATAATTGTCTTCAAATAAAAGAACCAATCATGAGTATCCATATAGACGGTGGTACAAAATGGTGACAAAAGACCGGTGATATATGGCATTTCTCTTTGGTAAATGTTTTGAAGTTTTATTTTCAAGAAATGATCCAACTCACAGGGCTGAAAAACTGAAAATCAAAATTACAAAGGTTGACATGCGTACAAGCTACTAAGACCCCATTTGGTTAAACAGATTTCAAATGAATGGATTTGCGCTTCAAATTTGCAAATACATGGGAGAGTTAATTATTTGAGTGGGATTGAAGACCTAAGGAGGAGGACTGCAGTAGAGATGTTTTATTAGAATCCTTGTATAACTACAATCCTTCCGGTAATAGATTCGAAATAACACTTTTAGAATCTGTTTGGATTCAAATCAAGGGATTTGAGATTAAAAATATTTGATAGTTAACTATTATAGGTGGAGAGAAAAACAATGAAAGAAGTTTAGGTGAGATAAAATATATGTATTTTAGTAGGATCCTTGTAGCTAAAAGAGAATCCTTAGCATGATTTCAAATAACTATATAGTTATTTCAAATCCATCATGATAAAACTATTTAATTCAATCTTGAAATTCATAGGTAAACTATCAAATCTAAATTTGAGTTACTTTCCTAGAATTAAGGTCAAAATCAATATACATCCAAACAGACCCTTATTTGAAATCCACTCATAATAATAAGTCACCTAAATCCTTCCATCCATCACATCAAATCTAAATATAAGTTATAATTTTTAAGGAATACTCCCTACATGATTAAAGTCAAATCTGTTCATTTCAAATTGATGAAAGCTAAATATAACCTCAATATTACAATTACAATTACAATTTCAATTTCAATTTTCTCCGAGTCTTCCTAATTTGAAATAAAAATATAGGAGGGACTCGTACAAAACCACATGGAATCCTCAAATTGATTATTTGCATGTTCCACAGTGAGTGAACTTCAGATTAAGGCACAGCCGTTTTTTTTTGGTATATACTTGTGAATTACATAGAAATTGGTTATCTATTTTGCTTAGCCATGTATTTCAAATTTAGAATATTAGTGTGTAAAAATTTCAAGATGATTGGTTTTGAAAGTAATAACTAAGCCCTTGAAGATTGATGGAATTCTCTAGATATGCTGCCTCACAATCAACTGAAAAAACATCATTATGTTCATTAGATGAGAGTAAAGCTATTGAAAGGAACTTAAAAGCCGACATTGTTTAGGCAATGCAAATTGCTATTACTACAGCATTTTAGGCATATAATCATGGAACAAATCAGTAATTGTAATCCAATTCCCTTAATCATCCTTTAGTTGTATTAAATCTTCTTTTATCCTATTCACCCAAAAAAATCTTCTTTTATCCTTCACACAATCTATATGTCTCTGTCATCAACAGTTATGAATTATCAACTTTCTTAAATGCTAAGCATGATGGCAAAATACCCACTTTAACAAGGAATGAATGTAGCAAAGTTTGTTGAAGACGAGCTGCCATGCCAAGGAACTACATATTGGCAATTTCTTAGGCTACTTGAAGTTAACATAAACTAGAAAATAACAACTCCTCTTACCTTGATTTCTTTTGCTTGTGCAGGTACTCCAGCAATGCTTAGAAGTGAAGTAAATGATATAAATACAAATATTGCTGCAACTCTAGTCTGCAATTTCAGAGGTTAACATAAAGAAAAGATAAAGCTTGTCAAAAGCAAAACAGAACAAGAAGATGCAATCCGACAAGCGCAAGAGCAACAAGAATGACAAGGTCCAGATGAGCACAGCACAGATCAAACCTCTTTCATGAAATGCATATTATCTTAATTATCATCCAACATTTTGCAATGAACGAAAGGTGTTTGATTTTGAATTCATAAAACTCACCATGACAGATGACAAGGAATGCCCTAATCCAGAAAATACTGTACCAATACAGACTGTAAGAAGCATATAGAGAATCAGCCGAAGCCAGTAGTATTTCCACTCTCTTGACATAATCAATAAGGATCTCCAAGTCAAGACTGCAATTCGTGTGGCAATGCTTGCCTTCCCCTTGCTTTTGAGAGATGAGCCTTCCTGTAGTAATAGTTGGCATGCAACAACCAAGTTAGGGAAGATGATATCTTATAGAAGCTCCACATGACAATTAAGGCCTCTCATTTTGGGCTTGGACAGTCATGCATGGTAAAAGTGCAATCAGCAAGATTTAGGACTAAGGATTAGATAGCAGGAAAAAAAATGTCAAGAAAACCAGACATTAGATACTGGTGTAGTTTGGGCATTGCTTCAGTTGTAAATTAAAATAATTTGGGAGCTTCTATTCGAACACCATAAAATTCTCAGTTCATAGCCATACCTTCTCTGTGAGTTTTAATATCATAGTCTCAACTGCAGTGGCATCTGCTGATGATTTATAAGTTGCTTCGAGGGTGCGAATTGCAATGGCAGTGTCCACGTTTACAGATGAAAAATCTCCCTGGTCATCCTGTGAACATAATTTATTCCATGTACAGTAAATATATACCAAGAGGAGGAAAAGAAAAAAATTGTGTTGAAATTTTCAGTATTATATATAGTTTATCTTACAAGGCCACAAACATCAGAAAACAAGGAATAAAATTGTGCACCACAAAAAGGTTGAAAACTACCATTCAACCTCCAAGTTATAGATCCCCAACCCGATCAATAAAAATCAACAACCTTAAAAATCTTACTAGCTTTTATTAATAGTTTAATACTTGAACCTACTTTATAAAGAAGTTCAAGCTATAAGAATTAAGACAACCGCAAGAACAGAAGCAAGTACCTGCCAATTTTTACACATTGCAATGATCCTGTCAAAGTCTGTATTTATCGCGCGTAAGAAATGATCAGAAGGACTTTGCATAATTGGGCAAGGGAATCCCGCATTTGAAAAGTGCTTCATCAACCAAAGGTAGGTTAGATAAAAGAACTCATAACACTCAGAAAAATAAATGAAATTTTCAAATCTTCAAACATAGCAATATTATTCATATTCTCATCACTCCTTGCCATCTTATTGACTGCAATTGATAATAGTAATAATAATGATGTTGCGCAAAATCATGGTTTCAATTACACAATAAAGCAAAAATTAGAAGATCAAGCACACAGAAAACACAAGATATACATGGTTCAGCAAGTATTAAAAATCCACTATACGCATCCTGACCCAAAAATAATAATATATACCGTGCTGCCCATGGACCCTCGCAAAGGGCCTGGGTGAATCTCAGTTGGGCCTTTTACTCCAGCTCCGAGCCTCAGCCCTCCACCTCCGTAAAAAGGCCCTTTACAGTACAGTAAATTCAAGACACCTCACAACTAACAATGTTCAAACTTGAAAGTAACCCCCACATATGATGGGCTCACAGACTCTGGAATAAAATCCTTTACACTGACCGAAGATTGAAGAAGGAGAATGATATCCAGTGATGTATTACCTGCAAACAAGCCAATGTCTCTCCAAAAAACAGTGTGTTTCCATTTGAAAGCAGACAGATTCGATCAAAGAGGCCAAACACTTCTGTACTACTCTGGTAGATAGTAAATATAAGAGTGCAACCTGTGTTTGCAAGCTTCTTTAATGTAACCATCATCAGAAGTGCAGAGACACTGAAAAAAGAGCCAAACCATTTAGCTATGATCAGAGAAAAGCTTATATCACACAACAGATGGACAAAGCACTTCTAGAAGCTGTGACCAACCTCACTGAATCTCACAAAAGAGATCATCAAGGCACCAACCCATAAATCACCCGGACAATTGCAATCAAGAATAAAATCAATAAACAAAAAAACCGACAAAAGAAACAATACAATCAGATCATTAATTCCGCCGAGTCCTTCAGAATAAAATGGAAGAATGTTTTGAAAGAAACAACAGAATGTAATATCAAGTCAGCCTACTATTCCAATTAGATTCACACTAGCACACACAATCCAAATTTGTCAGACAACTTATGAATAGAGTCTGCCATTCAACATAGATCACAAATTGCAACGCTAGTGACAACAGGTCACAAATTGCCATTCAACATACACAAGTGTATGGGACGGAATAAGCATCTAATCTAGTTTATTTCCCCAGAACCAGGATGAAGATAAGCTGTTTACTCCTACCACTACACAGTTACCATTGCATGATACACCATATATAGTCCGCACAAAATCATATGATCTTTAACATTTATGTACAACACAAAATAAGATACTAACAAAAACTCTTAAAATTTCCCATAGTTTGCAACTTTTGGCAGTTCTTTGAACAAGGTATGAAATATATTGGTTCAAAAGTCGTTAACAAATATTTTTAAATAAATCTAATTCTAATAAATTTGAATTTTTTCATTTTCCTTTTTCTTTACTTTCTTCTTAAAGAAAGTGGTAGTGGCAATGATGATGATGACACAATGAAAACAAGAATGAGGATCTCTACCCATGCAATGCTCCAAATCAATTTATTTCTTTTTTTATCGTCTTCAGAAAACAAGAAAATCAATTATGTATAACATTCTTTTTAACATGGATTAGACATTGAAAGAGTTGACATACAGCTCCATGAATTCTCAAAGCTATTATTGGAACTCAGAACTTGACATTAAAATGATGTCATGACATTTCAAAATCTAAAATAGCCTATGATTTTAAAACATGTAATTGCACCAACAGAAATATAAGGTTTCTTTTTGGTTGTCTCCAGTTAACATACAATGTTACTTTACATGTTCTTCAATATCTTTTACACCAAATAATATAGATGTTACATCTTACAAATTTAGATGACCTAAAGACACTTTTTTTTTTATCAGCACCTAAAGTCTACAATGCAAGATATTACAAAATTAATGGGTTCGTTTGGTTTGTATTTCTAAAAAAATTTTGGAAAATTTTTTCTACAAATAAGTTTTTAAAAGTAATTAAACCAAACAAATTTTTCCAAAAAAATTTCTCAAAACTTGTAAACCAAACAAGTTTTCCAAACAAATCTCTCTCTCACACACATCTAATCAATCACTTTTTTCAAAACTCTCTCTCAAAATAATTTTCCAAAACATCTTTTGAAAAAAATCAAACCAAACAACTTTTCGTACTTTTTATCTTTAAAACACATCTCTCAAACACAAACCAAACATACCCAATATCTCTGATAGTTCACATCTCATCAAAACAACAGTAAATATCTGTGTATGTATATAAGCTTCTCAATATTGCGTTTTTTTCTAGATCATTCGTGAAAATCTCAGTGTATCTTATTGATAAATAATAATAATAATAATAAAAAATAAAAAACTATGCGAATGTGTCTTAAGAAAGCAGGTAAATAGAATTCAGAAGCAGAAAATATGAATTGAAACATATGGTTCAGCCCTTGTGTGTGCTAAAAGTAATAGTGTTTTAGGAAGGTTGCATTTATGAACTGTAGATCACTTAGCCCTTGTGTGTGCTACAAGTAATAATGTTTTAGGAAGGTTACATTTATGAACTGTAGATCACTTAGCCCTTGTGTGTGCTACAAGTAATAATGTTTTAGGAAGGTTACATTTATGAACTGTAGATCACTTAGCCCTTGTGTGTGCTACAAGTAATAATGTTTTAGGAAGGTTACATTTATGAACTGTAGATCACTTAGGAACACAAATATAAAAACACCTGTCAAGATGATAAAGAGGCTAGTGCCACGTCAAAATTTACAAACTGGCAAAAGAACAAAGTAATAACTATCAATTCAATGCACTGTAGATGTTGATAGATTTTTAATTGCCCTTGATAAAATAGTCCAATCTGATGAAGAACAATATCTAGAACGGTTAAAGAAATAATTTCCTGGTAAAAGATTGGTTCAAATGCCTAAAGAAAAAGATGTGAAGGCTACAAACAAAACAGTTCTTCAACTTCTAAGGGTGCCTCACAAATTTAAGATCACAGGTGGAACTGATAGAAGAAGGGTTCTTGATATTGGCTATATAATAAGAGAGATGGAATCACAGAAGGGATGAGGTTCAAACAATTAAGTGGATTTTTCACAAGTTTTGACAGAGTTTGGTTTAAGAGAGGAGTGGAGATCACACACAATCAGTGAAATCTTCTCTTACTAATGGTTGATGCGCAGAGATACAAATCCAGTGCACTGGGCATAAGAATTGTGGACACAAATTACTATCCAAGAAAGTCCCACACACTGCTCAGTTGGTAACATAGACTGCATTACAATTCATATACTTAAATAGGTAGAAACATAATTACTTGGGATTTGATAGGGAATGAAGAATGCAATACCATCTCAACATAGGGTACATAGCAGCCTAAAATAGTTCATGGAGAAAATAAAAACCATACAAATAATTATTCTAAAATAGTTTAGAACTTACATAGGACCCATATGGCAGGCGTGATTTCACTCCATTCACAAACACCTCACCATACATTTTGGCCGAGTCATGCAACCTTCCTTAATTACAAAGAAACCGTCATTTTTAGTTTTAGTGCATCTGAATAATCAAGTGCACTTCTAGTATTGACAATCAATTGAATGCTACCAACCTGCAAGAGCTCTCAATAGTGTCGATTTACCAGATTTGGCAGGACCCATAATTACGGTAATCGTCCCTGGTAATGTGTAACCATTTGAACTCTTCACAACCTTATTAGAGTACTTCCTTTTCCCATTTATAGTAACAGTCAAGTCCTTCCACGCAACTGAAGCCCCTGCAACCTTTCTCGCAACAACTGCACCCTCCGGTAATGGTGGGGACGGCAAGGACCCACTATTACGCTTTGAAAAAGTTGGGGAGGCTGGAGTGGTTGCAGCATCAATGGAGTCACCTCTTTCCTCCACCCTAACATCGACATCTGTATCTTCCCAGTCTGGTGAATCCTCAAATGAGATGGGTTGTCTAACGGAACCGGGTTTTCGCATATAAAAAAAATTACTTGAAGGCGCCCCACTCACAGGACTACTTGCTGATGAAGATGGCGATCTATAGTTATCTGATTGAGACTGTATTTCTTCCATTTGAATTATTAAAATACTAAGTTGGAGAAAATAGCAAGGTACAAACACATAAACAAAGCTATTTAATAACTCCAAAATTTAACATTACATCTATTCACATTGTTTTCAGCTGAGCAAATCAGAACCCCACATGTGTTCAATCTAGTCGATCAATCAATACAAATATACCTGCATCCAAAGAAAATTAAGTTCATGAATGCAATACCCAAATTTCTTCTTCAAGAGTGGTTCGAATAAATTCAGTTAAATGCTCATTTTGATTCCTGATAAACAGTAAAAGATGGAGATATACTGAAAATTAAATGTTTTGCATTGGTTTAAGCTTAAAGAACACAAACTAAACGTGTCAATTGACTCATTTTCTTTACTCTACACAATTTTTATGGTGAATACACAAATACCATACACATATATACTAATAGAAGAAACTATTTGAATGATTCGATTCATTGGATATGAAACACTCATAAGAAGGGAAAATCATAACAAGGAATCGAACCAAGCAAGGAGTAGAGGGAGAGAAAAGTGAGAGTACTAACTAACCTGGATGGATCTGGGAGGGAGCTCAAGGAGAGAGTGAAGAGAGAGAGAGAGACGACGTTTGTCTGCAGCGTAAAAACATGGGAAAGTTGCTGCTCCTGTAGGACCCACACGGTTCCTCGTTTCGTTTTGGTGGCGAAAGAAGATCCAAAGTCAGGACTACTGCTTCGTTCGAAGTAGGACCCGTTGTATTTTATGATATTTTGTTTGGTAAAAAATATAGGTAGGTAAACTATTATATTAGGAGATTGAGTGTCTCTAAAATATATAATGATTGATTAAATAGTATGAACACCTGTTACTAGAGTATTTTATAAGTTTTTTTAGATTGTAAAAAAGTTTTGCTATATAATCAAATTTGATCTTGACCGAATCATCTGAATTTATATATATTAATTGTTTAGTCGCTCATCCGACAAATGTCGATTGACAAGAGTAACAATCATTGTTAATAGGGGTGATGCCAGTCATCTGACTTACATACTCAAATTCAATGTATCAATTATTTCTCATTTTAAAAATAGTTTAAATTTTATTTATGATAAATTACAAATATATTTTTTGAAGTTTGCATTAAATGTAGATTGTCAAAAATTACAAATACTCTCTTATTAAAAAAAATTATTTAACAAAATTAATTATAAAAAAAAATGAAATCTCTAATTACTCTACTGTACAATAATAAAATTATTATAATTATTAACTGTAATAAATTTTTGATATCATTAAAAATTATTATTTGACTTGATAATTTGTTAATAAAATTGGCCATTTGTTATGAAATTAAAAATTTCAAGAAAAATATATGTAATTTTCAAAATCACAAAAGACAAATTATATTTTAAACAAACCTTATAAACTGCAATTGTAATTTATTCTTTAATTTATTTATATAATAATTAATTTTAATTTAATTTTTAACAGGGCTAACACATTCAAACTTTAATAGTTTATTTTTAGGAGAAATTAGTGAAAGATTCTTGCCAAATTTTGAGTAGCAGAAAAGATGTAATATATATATTTTTTTATTAGCTAAGGTCCTTCACCACTAGCCCAGCAACCTCTTTTTTCTCGTTTTCAACTCTCTCTCTCTCTTCACCCACTGAACCACTGACCCTCTCTACCTTTACACTACTGTAGTATCGCTTTGTTATCACTAGTCGCTAGTCAGACAACCACCCCTCACCACCGATCTCACTTCAACAGCTGCTCAGACCTTAGATTGCACTATTCTGAACATTTAAAACCCTAGAAGTATATTCACATACTCCACAAGCTAAGATTGAATGTAGTGACCCAGGTTCGAGAACACAAGAGAACCAAAAGCATAAAAAATTGAAACTTTTCAAAGAGATAAAGAGAGAGAAACAAGAGGATTGCAAATTAGAGAGTGCTTAGGATGGCTTTAGAGTCTTGCCTTTCCTTTGTTCGTGAATATCACTGGACAAGTAAATCGAAAATAGTGCTTTATTTTGGAAGCAAACCAAAACAATGCTCTATTATGGGTTATTGTGAACAAATGTAAGGTTGTATTCAAGAAGCTCAATTTTTTTGCTAAATTGAAGCAAGTTTGTTTTTACTGTTTTTTATTTATGATTTTAATTTTCTCTGGATTAAATGTATAGATTTGGAAATTAATTGGAATTGTGTTCAAATATGGATTTCTCAGTGATTTTCTCTGTATTTTTGTGGAATAGTTAGCAATTCTCTGTGATTTTCTTTGTGTTTAACATGCTTATAAGTTTTTAATTTTCTCTGAACTTTTATTTGTAATTTGTAATTTTATCTGGACATGCAAGTGTGTGATGGCTAAAGAAGATCAACATAATAGAGAAATTCCAGAAAAAGTCAAATAGGCTTGAGAAATCAACATGCAAGTAAATTTCTCTAACTACATCTGCAGAGAAATTTTAGAGAAAATCAAATGTCTTAGAGAAATCAACATGCAAGTAAATTTTTCTAACTACATTTGCAGAGAAATTTTATATACAACCCAAATTGCAAGTGTGTGATGGCTAAAGAAGATTAACATGACGGCACAGAAATTTTAGAGAAAATCAAATGTGCCGGAGAAATCAACATGCAGATGTGTAATGTGTCCAGTGAAAATCAAATACACAAGAGTAAATTTCTTTGACTACATTTGCAAATAAATTTTATAGGCAGGTTAGAGAAATTCTAAAATTTCCCTATAAAAATTGAAATTTCTCTGTGGGAGGGTCAAAATTTCTCTGAGTCGGACCGAAATTTCTATGAGTCGAATTTTCTCTGTAAAAATGTTGAAGGAACCAACTACTATGAAAATATTGTATTTCCTTTATCTTATAAAATCTTAATATCAGGGACCTTAAAAAAAATTCTCCTTATTTTTATAGTGCACTTATTGAGCTCAGTAATAGATTATTCATGTGTAATTAAAAGTTTTAAAAAGTGTTTAAACTTTACTCATTAATCTAATAAGGGGTTGTTTGGAGCAGACTTTTTATTTTAAGTGACTATTTTATTCTTTAGCTTAAAATACGAGATGAAAAGAACTACTATGTTTTTTGGGTAAATAATAGTTTGACCTCCTGTGGTTTACCCAAAAAACAAAGAACTCCCCTGTAGTTTTATTTGTAACATTTAAATCGCCAGACTTGATACCACGTTGTAATTTTTAACGAACGTAATAAAAGTGCATGAAACGACGTCGTTTTGTGCACTGCCTGATAAAAAAATAAAAAAGAAAAAAAAGGAAAAAACGGGAATGAAAGGTAGAGAAAGAGAGAGAGATGGAGAATCATATATATAAATATGTATATACATAGTTAGAGCATTGGAGAAATAAAAACAAGCTTGGGGATTGAAACCCAGAGAATGAAAGAGGCTTCAAGCAGAGGGATAGGATGTTTATGAGGGTGGTTGCTCCTCTCTATAATCTGTATAATACACAACAAGAAGCCTGTGATTTTATTTTATTCTATCTCCAATAATGAACAACCTTTTGCGTGGAGAAGTTATTTTGGTGGTCTTGGATTTGGATTTGGATTTGGATTTGGATTTGGATTTAGGGGTGTGTGTGTGTGTGTGTGTGTGTTTTGATCTCTGATCATTCCATATATATATATTATAGTTTTCTTTGAACTTTTATTTGTAATTTGTATTTTTCTCTGGACATGCAAGTGCGTGATGACCAAAAAAGATCAACATGGCAGAGAAATTTTAGAAAAAATCATATGCTAGAGAAATCAATATGCAATTAAATTTCTTTAACTACATCTGCAGATTTTTTTTAGAGAAAATCAAATGTGTTAGAGAAATTGACATGCAAGTAAATTTATCTGACTAGATTTGCAAAGAAAATTTATATACAAGTCAGATTGCAAGTGTGTAATGGCCAAAGAATATCAACATGATGGTAGAATTTTTTTAGAGAAAATCAAATGTGCCGGTGAAATCAACATGCAGGTGTGTAATGTATCTAGTGAAAATTAAATACACAATAGTAAATTTCTCTGACTACATTTGCAGAGAAATTTTATAGACAAGTTAGAGAAATTAAAAAATTTATCTGTGAAATCAGAGAAATTCTCTGTGTTGGGATCAAAATTTCTCTGAATCGGGACTGAAATTTGTTTGAGTCGAATTTTCTTTGTGAAAATGTTGAAGATCTTATAAAATCTTAGTATTAGGGACTTTAAAAAAAATTCTCCTTATTTTTACATTGTATTGAGCTCAATAATAGATTATTCATGTTTAATTAAAAATTTTAAAAAGCGTTTAAACTTGACTTATTAATCTAATAAGGGGTTGTTTGGAATAAACTCCTTTTTTTTTTAGTAACTTTTAAATTTTTTAGCTCAAAATATGAGAAAATAACTACTATTTTTTAAGAAGGGAATTACTATGTTTGAATTTATTTTTTATTTTATTTTATTTTTTTAAGAAAGCATATGTAAAAAATTAAAGTGGATGAAAACAATCATTCGACTCTTAAACTAAAATGGTGTGTTGTCAAATAAGCCCAAATTAATTTTCAATAAACTTCTGCGTTTAGGATGATATATTTTAACTAAATGGTAAATTACACTAACACTTCATGAGATTTGGTTAAATAATATCACTTTTTGACATTTTAAAAATTACATTTCTATTCTTATGATTAATAGTATCATTTCACAAACCTCCCTACTTATATAAAAGGCAACAACTCATAGAACAAAAATAGAGTAAATTACACTGAAAAAAAAAAGGAAAGGAAAGGGAGAAAAAAAAAACAGAAGAAGTAAAGCAAAGCAATAAATAGAGAGTACATGAGTTCAATATCTTTATTTTGTCTAAATAATTACAATAACAGGGAATTAGTGTAATTTCTCATACGTCAGGAGGTGATATGCATTAAACTCAAATCTCATGAGGTATAAGTGTAATATATCCTTAACTAAAATAGTCAATAAAGATAAAAAAAAATGTTAAAATAATTAATAAGACAAAATTTTACATCTTATACATTAATCAATCACTTTTTTCTATTACAATTATCATCTAATTACAAAAAAAATTTACAAATCATCCCCAAAAAAAAAAAATCTCATAAAGTAACTAAAAAATCAAAAAATTAACTAAAACAGTCAAGTTCCCAAACGAGAGTTAAATATATTTGAACTTAAGTAGTTTGTAATTCAAAGCCTGGCCCATCAACCCACCCGAGGCTCAATGTCATTTTTGGTGAAAAAAATAAAATTTTGATGAAAAAAAAAAAAAAAGTTAGGCTTGCTCTAGGTTTGCCCAAAACTCGAGCTTAGGCCCAGGCATACTGGACTAACTCAAGGCCGGAGTACCCCTAGGCTTAGGATTATGTCTAATTTTTTGGCACATGGGTCGCCTTGAATTTTGAAGGGAGGCTGAATAGTCTGATTGTAGACCAGTCCAAAAATGAACTCAGATGAGCCGGACCGAATCAAATTTATACCCTATATAAATGGGTGCTTTTGTGAATTTTTTTTTTTGAGGATATAACGCTACCCGATAAATGCTCTCCCTTGTAAGCAAGCAAAGGGTGCTTAACGTGTAATGATTAACTAAACATAAATAATTAGCATAATTCTAGAGCTGCAAGTCAAGCTTCGTAAGAAACACACCAAGTACCTTTCCAATG